AGAACTGAAGAATGGAAATCTTCCATGCACTTGTTGTACACCATAACTAACTTTGAGATAACTTTTATGTAAGAGCTTGTGACTTATACTATGCTGTGTGAAATGTGCACCATGCAGTGTTTATGCATGGAATGCACACACAAAGCATCATTGATTACTAGTGTTTTTTGCAGTGGTGCAAAGTGCATGATCTTGTGAATGCTGGAAGTCTGGATGGCACCCTTAGCTTAGTAAAGAAGGTGCTACCTTCTGATCAGAGACTGTTTTGAGGACAGGCATAAAAGCTTCTGTGCAGTGAATGCAATTAGTCTAAAGTTCCCAAACTGGTCCACAAAGTGGTGGTTGCTCCTGGAAAGCTGGTTTGTCACAAGGTGCTGACTTCTATTCATTTCCTCTGCAACACTGACAATATTTAATGTGTATTAATGCCATATAAGCAACTGATGTAGCTACTGTGAGGTAAGATTGGATGATTGAAAAATGAGTTCACTATGGGCATGTGTCTACATGAAGACATTCAGGAAAACTAATGTGAATCAGCTAGAGAAGTATGAAATTAAACCATGTTTAAATCCCCATGTAGATGCTCTGAGGAGGAAGATTCAGTTAGTGAACTATAGCAGCTCTACTCCCGATTGAGTGTATTCACATGAGGGCATAACATGCTTTAATTTGCATGCATAATTTCACATTGTTGGTTCACCTTAAGTTTCCTGAGTGAAGAGCTCTGTGTAGCTCAAAACTTATCAGTCTCACTAGCAGAAGTTGATCCAATAATGAATGTTTTATAGTTCCTGATTTAACAGCCTTCATGGTTACATGCAAGCTCCCATTAAGCCAATGTGCCAGCTCCCAGGAAGCCGTCCTCCTCCCTCCAGCCACACTTCTTTCTCTGTATCAGAGGCAGCAGCACAGAGGGACAGGTGAGAGTTTAAAAGCTGGGTCCTTGTGTGCACCGGCTTCTGGGGAACCGCCTGCGCATCCCGTCCCCTCCCACTGGTTACTTGGTTATTTAAACACATCTTAACATCCGTAGAATCCATACTGTGTATTAGAGGGCTAAAATGACAATTCCAAGAAAACTAAGTAGTGAAGGCATTCTATTTTGAGTTTTGTTTACCATACCTTTGAAGATAGAATATTTCTAAGTTTTTAAACCTGGTGAGTAATTTTTTTTATTCTAAAAATTTCACATACTTTCTTGAAAACAGCAAATATAATATTAAAATAAAAAGCTTATTTACTACTTTTATTACCAACAAATCCCTGAGTTTGAGATTTTATAACTTTTAACTCCTTCCTTTTATATATTACAGTGAAAGGCAAAGAACAAGAGAAGACCACAGATGTGAAAGCAATTAAAAGTAAGCTCAAGATTTAGTGAACTTTATGGAAAGACAATACAATCCACAACACTGCCATATTTTTGTACCCATTTGCTCATTTCCTTATCACTAAAGAGGAATATACCTTGTACTTTTTTTTTTAAGGCTAATTTGTCTCCAGGTGGCCTATAGTAATTTGAAAACTAATCTTTCCTGATAATGACCATCTTACCTGGTGTGGAAGCATGGAGTTATTTAATTGTTTTTTGGGGTTTTATTTCAAAGTGATCATAAAACTCAATACATATCCAATCACCTTGCAAATGGCAATTATTCCTTATCGGCAGGAGATTGCTCTCTGAGGTATTTTGGGTGCTTTTTCTGGTATTTTATTTTGCTGTTTTGATAATGTGACAGCTTTGCATTGCCTAATGCACAGATCAGGAGGCCAGGGTTCTGATCTCTCTTTTACTAGTGTAAATTGAATTACAGAATTACTCCATATTTAAATCTGGAGTGACTTCACATTTACACCAGTGGAGTGGAGATCCAAATCTTGTTTAGAAAGAGCAGACCCTAACAGTACACTAAATAGTATAGAAATTTTGGACATGACTCAATATAGAACATTTTCCTTGATTTGTTGACAGCACTTTGTATAGCCTATTAATCATGGAAAAACAACAATGTATTTTTTCAGTTTAAACATGTTCACTTTTTAGTTATCGCTACTATAATTTAGCTGCTTTTATGTGCCTTAAATATAACTTTATTTCAGTACTTTGTAAAGTGTTATCTGGGTTTTAAGAAAAATATACAAGCATTCGATTTATTTTTGAAGCAAAATCATCCTAATCAAGTTAACAGGATGCCCTACAATTATTAGTCATGACTACTTATTAGTTCAAGCAGATTGCTCAACACAGGCTATGGCATGACCACTGTGAAAATTAAAATAAAACTTCAAATGTAATACAGTTTATTACATAACAAGAACGTCCAATGTTGAGCAAAATGGGAGCAGCTTCCTTGTTTGGCAGAGCACTATTCAGTAACCTGCATCATATGAGGTTAGAGATTTAACGCTGTCTAGAAATTCTAGAATAGGTATTTCATCCTTAGAGTTCATTAATCTTCAGTTCTGCTTATTATAAAGCTAGGAGCCTTAAATCTAAATCAGAAAGATTAAATCATTATAAAATGGATCTCTCTTTCTGTACATTGTTATCCAGCAAATAGTCTTCCATTGCTGTGGTCAGCCAAACAACTGGCTTCTTTCCACAAGGTTGGAAGAGCATATTTCCTGTTCCTGTCTGCAATTCATACCAAAAGCTTCTTGAAGAATAACAAGCAGCATTTTAGTCCCAACTATTTCAATTCCAGGACAACCTCCATGTATCTTACAAATTATCTCCGATGACTGCTTGCCAGAAACAAGTCCTGTGTTCAGGTTTATTCAGTTATGCACATTCAAACAAGTAGAAAGGGAGACTAGATTTACCCAAAGTTATAGATTAGACCAGGGCTATTCAACTTTGGAAGCCCCAGGGGCCAGAATGATACAGCACATGCCGAGGGCTGCAACTTAAGTGTGGTTGCATATGCATGCAAATATATGTAAATAGCTTCTTTCACACTGACGGGCAAGACTGTACAACGCGCAGACCCCATTTAGGTTAGTTCTGCTATTAATAAAATGCAATATTTACCCAATTTCCAACTACCTGACAGCAGTTTTAATGAGCAATGACAGTCCAGGAATTTAACTGCTAAAAGGCATATCAAGAGAAGGCCATTATATTGACTTGCTGTTGTGGAGTGTGTTCACATTGGAGGTCATATTCAAAGGATTCCACCCGCAGGCTGCATGTTGAGCCCCGCGTAAACCCAACTTGCACCGTGGGCCACTTTCAAATGGGCTGGGGGCCGCATGTTGAGTACTCTGGATTAGACTGTAGTGTCTATGTATCTCATTTAGCTAAACAGAACCATGCAGCCATAGATTAAAAGTATAGGAAATAAACTGCAAATTCTCAATGGGTAATTGATAATTAAGTGAACAAGAAAAAAATCTAACCTCTAGTATTCTTGCATCTAAAAAAAGGGCCATCAAAACAAAACAGGATGTCCTATTTAGGTTAGGAGATCAGCTCACGGTACCATTGAGTCTAAGGCTACTGTTGCTGTGGCATTTAAGTTTAATTCCCAGTCTGTATGTGTCATTAGATATTGCAAATATAAAAGACGTAAAGAATTAAAGCAATTGAAACAAGTTTTCTTGACACATCAGTAAAAGCCACTGTTATGTAATAAGGGAGGTGGATCTCTTTGCACAGCATCCTAGTCAAATTTTGTATCCATGAAATCTCCAGAATGAATCTTGGCACATTGTTGCCTCCTGTTTTCTGTTTACACTTAAGCAGCAGAAGATTTTTATTGTTATGACAAACATTTTTTTCTTCTGAGGAAACTATCCTCTGTCTCATTTCTCTTCAAATTCAAGCAGCCAGTATAATCCTTATCAGAATACTGCTGCAACAGATTTATACATTAATACTTAGTCACAGCTTCAGATGAGCTTCTCATTGTTTCCTTTGCTCATGGGAGTAACATTTGTTGTGTAAATTTAAACATAGAGTCCTTATCTATTGAACAAATGTAATATAAATGGGTACCGCTGCAATTGGGCTTAAATGATCTTATAATTGGTGTTAAGAACCCACTTATTTCTAGTATCCCTGCATTGGTCAGACTATTAAGCAGAGACTGACATGTACACTACACATGGCATGTTTGTAATAAGAATGTAGTTGAGCTAACAGTATAACTCAGCTCATAGTACTTAGCATGGGATACTATATAGAAAAGTTTGCACATTTTTTTCCTTTTAATCATTGTTTTGGTTCCAGCTGCAATACCACCGCCTTCCCCTCAAAGAAGCACTAGAAATCATGCCTTGCTGGAGGCTGCAGGACCAAGCCATGTGGCAATTAATGCCATCTCCGCCAACATGGACTCTTTTTCTCGCAGTCGAACAGCTGCTCTTAAGAAACAGCCAAGTCACATGGAGGCTGCACATTTTGGAGATCTAGGTAAGACACAAGACTAGTATCTAAGTTACATTACATAGGTCAAAATAACATGGGCTAGCCAGTCAGTATAAAGCGTACTGGTTACCTGTTGGGATCAAAGGGAAATGTGTCCTGTTCAATAGTTATTTGCAGTTAAGTATATTGTGAAAGTCTTGCACCTTCCTGTAAAAACCTATTGATGGCTCTGTCAAAGAGGTTAACCCACTAGATGGGGTATGGTCTGTTCCAGTAGGACCCCTCCTAAATTCCTCCATTGTAGGTTCCTTCTGTGAGTAGGTTACCTCCATGTGTATTGTTAATTTATCTCTAGGCTTAATACATGTGTAAATATTAAATTCCAATTCGCTCACTTTTGTTTTTCTGTTTAGAGCTCTTTTCATCACCAGTGGGCTCTCTGGACATGGATTTTTAGGTTGGCTGTGGTGACTGCAGATTATACTTCAAAGAAAAGTTATAAACAGTCCTTTTCCTGCAGACTAAACATTGTGGCAGTTTGTGCTGCAAACACTACCTTTGTACTAGACTTGTAAAACTACTCTGACAGTGTCAGGTTTTTTTATTAAGGCATTGGAAAACTTCATTGGACCAGACCCAGAGGGGAGACAAGCTTAGATACCTAGGTTCTTAAATTGTATTAACCTTCACAGAGGCTTAAATTTGCCATTCTCTCTGAGCTAGGGCCGTAGAGCATCACTATTGATGGCTGCCAGCCTGTAACTGTAGGGGGCAGAATCAAAACATTGAAAGGCTGATAAGAGACTAATCCCTAGCTTCCAGAGACCACTTCATTTTTGCTGTGCTTCTTATAGCTGCTGGCAGGGTAGAATCCAGCACCTACTGCAAGAAAGAGCTTAAAGAAAAACACTTAAAAACCCAGGTGGCTTGCCTCCTACATAGAATTACAACAGCAGCCCCTGCCAATGGATCTGGTAACAGGTTATCAGGATAGTAGAGTAAGGTCTAAACAGGGGACCAAGGCTGTGTTCTTCCTGCTCTGTATCCCTGCCAGAAAATGCAGAAGAACAGGTGTGTGTCTTGTGCGTTCCAGCTACCTCATCCTCTGGGTCAGAAAGGACAACCAGGTTTGTTGAAAGGTACAAGGCAGCCACTATAAAAGTCTTATTGTGTTTGTTTTAATCTAAACAAGCCAAGGTAACTAATGTAAATCTTGCAGAGTTCTCACAGCTGATTTCTCTGAATCAAACAGGCTGCTTCTATGGAGCAGGAAAAATGCCATTTAGATTGACTCCACAAGCCAATAGACTTTTTTGTGGGTCAAGCTTTTTAGAAAGTGAAGTAGTAAACATTACTGAAAAAGGAGATTTTTATGTTGAACTGCCTCTTTTTGTCAGGTGCTCAACAAACATGCTGCTCTAGAGCCCTTTTGGCACTGCTCGCTGTACCATCCGCTGCCTGTTACAGACTGATTTTACTGATGGATGATGACTCAGCTTGTGAGCAGAGGAAGGCTTAAGTGTTCAGTGTTGCTAAAGTGTTATCAGTGTATTCTCCTGGCCTATCTTCAGAGTATTTTAAATGTGCATTGGTTCGGGGAAAGTTCAGGCAGTAGTTATGACTTCATGGATTTTTACTGTGTGAAAATATAGAACATAGGTAGCAGAAGGTGGAGCAAGCAACTGTGTGAGGAGGTTGGTCTTCACCTGCTCCCATCTCACATGATCTAGGCATGCATTAGCAAATGGCTGTAAAGATTAGTTGCTGAAGACCTCTTTGTGCCCATGTATTTGATACATTGGCTGAATAATCATTTTTTTCCCGTCTAACAATAGGATGAGAACTTTAGTGGACTGATCAGATATAAATATTTTTTGAATGGCAGACAGTTCCACTTTCCAATTGCTTTCTGGGTAGGAAATGCATTTTACATCAAATGTATATGGGTACTTCAGAATCTTCTCTCTATCAGTTGCATTTTGGCACATTGTGTATCAGTTGCCAAACTGGTTATAATGGAATATTGTGTAAATTCTTGGATGCTTTTTCTTTAGGCCGATCATGTCTGAATTTTCAGGCTCAAGAGACCAAATCAAGCCTTTCAAAGACTCTTGAACAAGTCCTGCAGGACAGTGTTGCCCTCCCTTATTTTATCCAGTTTATGGAACTGCGTAGAATGGAACATTTGGTTAAATTCTGGTTAGAGGCTGAAAGCTTTCACTCCACAACATGGTCCCGCATAAGAGCACACAGCCTGAACACAGTTAAACAGAGTTCATTGGCAGAGCCAGTGTCTCCCTCAATAAAACAGCATGAAACCACAGTATCTTCTCCAACTGGATTGCTTGACGAGAGGTTGGAGGATTCCAGCACAGTCCATCTGCTCATGACCAAGACAGTACCAACAGACCTGAATGACAGAACTGGCAACATTCAGAACTACTTGCTGTCAAGCCACGATAGCAATAATGCCAGGGTACTTCGTCTTGGGAAGTCTGAGGCAGGGACCCATTCTGTTCCAGCTGAACAGCAAGAATCTTCCAGGCTAACAGTATCAAACAGAAACAGCCCCTCTTCTGCACTAAAGGACTTGTCAGGAAAACTAATGAAAAGTAAGTGGAGGGGCGTGGGAGGGTAAATAAATGCCTTTAAACAAATTTACTCCTAATGTATGGGGTGAACCTGACTAATGTATATTTGTAACTTTTTAAAAAAAAAAATTGCTAATTTATCACTAGCATTATAGCTCAGGATAATAGTTGGTAATGGTGATATATAATCCTTAATTAAATCTTAGGATTCTTAAAGTAGACTGATTAAATCAGATTTTTTTTTAAAAATGTAGTTGGATTTTCCTACAGGAGAGGGAGAGCATAAATGGAGAGACAAAGAATCATGATGTTACGAGGACTGATTGTACTAAATTCATGACTGATTCTGACAATATATACCTCAAGCCGCTTCTTGTGTCTTGGAAAACTCTTCTGAATCTGCAGTTGCTTTGTATCTTAACATATTGTCTATAAAATGGAAATTGATAACTATTGATAGTTTAATGGATGCATTCCCCTAAGGAGAAACAAAAGATGTGGGCTTATCACAATTGGAAAGGGTTATAGTGTTTAATTCTGGTCATGTAGGAGGCAACCAGTTTGGGAGAATCTCCCCACAGTGTGCTCACAATTCTGTCATTAATAAAAATGGGTAGGGCTTGAGAAATCCATGTATCTACTCGCCCATAGCGAGTAGATTTCAGCTGTTCACCCCGTTCACCGGCGGTGGGTGCATGCACAGTGTGGGGCTGACGAGTGGATTTTGCTGTGGTTTGTCGAGCCCTGATAATGGGGACTGTGAAGGGGACCTCCAAAAGGGTTATGGGCTAAAAAACCATGAAATGTTCTGTTAATGCTGACAGTTCCTTTAGTCACTTAGTTGATACCTTGACAAACTGACCTGCTGAGACCACAAAGCCATAATGGAGTTCTAACCTTAGAACTATCCCATGTAACTTTCTTTAAAATCAATAAAAAATCAGACTGCTACTGCTGCTGAGAATGATGCCCTTGTTGGGTTTGCTTTGAATTCTTCATTATGGATGTACACTCTTGCGTTTTTTTTTCTGTATATCTAGCAAGTTCTCTTAGCAACAGCCTGGGATGAAAAAAGGAAGAATTGAATTACAAAAGCAGGAACTGTCAGGATACTGTGTAGGCCAATGTTCAGGCCGAACTCTTTTGTAACATTGAAATGAATCTCTTGAAAGATTTGTGTTAAATATTATGCTGTCAAACAGACTTCAGAATCATTACATTTTCTGGCATTAATTTTAATTGTACCTGTACCTACATGAGTAAGCTTGCAAAATCAAGGCACTCTTTCTAATGGTTTTTCTATTTTAAATGTAGCAAAGCTTGAATGCCAATGAGGGGTGGTAGTTGCCTTTGTCTGGAAGCTGCATATGTCGTATATTGTAAAATAACCATGATGAATCTTCTCGAGAATGCGTATGGAATATGTTTTTGCTCTTGGATTTATTTGATCAAGCTTTTCATAATCGATTTGTTCTAATTTCTTCTTTAGACACTTACTGCGGGGAGTAGTGCCTATTGCCATGAGCAGAAGCACAGACATTTGATTATATATGGTAGTAAGTAGGGATGTAAATACCCATTTAAAAAGTTAACCAGTTAAATGATAGAATTGTAATTGTTTAACCAGTTAACTGTGGAGGGCTGGTTCAGAGTGGCTGGGACTCAGGTTCCACAGCCATGGCTTTTCTAGGCAGGAGCCCCTGTGGCCAGGGTCCTTCTGAGCAGCCTGCGGTGGGTAGGAGGCTCCTCCAGATCGGCCATGCCATGGGTGAGGGGCTGTTCTGGACAGCCCTGCTGTACCGCAAGTGGGCCTGGCCCTTCGGTTAACCAGTTACTGGGTAAGCATGCAAGATTGTAAAGCAGAGGGGGGCAGACTATGGCCCACGGGCCATATTTGTCCCACCAGCAATTTTAAACCAGCCCTCGAGTTCTCACTGGGGAGCAGGGTGTGGGGCTTGCTCTGCTCCATGCGGCTCCCAGAAGCAACAGCGTGTCTCTCTTCTGGCTGGCTCCTATGCATATGGGCAGCCAGAGGACACCGCCCCCACAGCTCCCATTTGCTGGGAAATGCAAGCAATGAGAGCTGCAAAAGTGGTGCCTGTGGACGGGGCGGGGAGAGAGGGCAGCACATAGAGCTACCTGGCTGTGCCTTCGTGTAGGAGCCAAAGGGAGCAGAAGGGAACTTCTCTGCTTAAGGAGGCAAGTGGAGCCTGAGCCCCCTCCTGCCCTCCGAACAGCTCAGGCCCAGCCCAGAACACTCTCCTGTGCCTCCAACCCCTCCATCCCACCCCAGAGCTCGCAGCCAGAGACTCTCAGCCTTCCCCCTGCACTCCAACCCCTTGCCCCAGCCTAGAGCCCCGTCTCTCCGCTGAACCCCTCGGTCCCAGTCAGGGCCCCCTCCTGCACTGCAACCCTTCATTTCTGAGCCCACACCCCCAGCTGGAGCCCTCACCCCCTTCCGCACCCCAGCCCCAGTTCTGTGATCCAGCATGGCACTCTGTGTAATTTCTATACCCAGTTGTGGCATTTGGGCCAAAAAGTTTGCCCGCCCCATTGTAAGCTCTGTAGGGCTGAGACCATTTCTCATGTACAGCATCTAGCACGATGAAACCACAGTTCTATCTGGGGCTACTGCAATTAAAAAAAGATGATTGCAGGAACTGGGTCCCCCTTTAAAAATAAGAGTCTGAAGGGTTTGGTGCATAAATGTCTAAAATACTGGATATTTTTCTTAAATTTATTGCAGTGTGTCAAATGTTTGGGATTCCTTGTATTTTTGTTAAAAGGAAATTAAACTTAGTTAATGGCAGTTTATTTATATTCACATTTGAACATAAAGATATTTAATTCTGTTGTTGATTGGATGTTCTTGTGTATGAGGAGAGGAGCCTTTGCTACTTGTAATGTATGCCCACTGTGTAGTGCAGAGTGTCCCCGCTATATGTCCAAGATACATTCCAAAAAACGTGGTCGTACAGCGAAACGACATAAAGCGGGGAATTTTTTTCCCCACGGCTGACTTCTCTTTGCATGAATTGGTCCCTTTTTTTTTCTTCAACTTAAGAGGAGGGAATGGGAGGACTTATAATGCAACAGTTCCCACAAGCATCAATGATGTTAGTGCAGAACCGATGTTTACCAGGGCGATGTATAGTGGGATGCCCTGTACAGATTGAACCTCTCTAGTCCGACACTCTCTGGTCCGGCAACATCCGTTGTCCAGCATGATGTTAGTGAGCAGAATGTTCATTTAGCATGAGTGTGGCCAAGTTTCCCGTGGTCCCATAAAGTTTGTTTACAGCCACCAGTCCTGGCTCTCAGTGTTCTGTGCTGTTATTTAGCTCTATTTTTAATCTCAAATGTCTCTAAAAGCCCAGTAACCAGTGGAAGTGTTGGTAATGCTGCTAGACAATATTGACCTCCCATGGTCCGGCAAATTCTCAGGTTCAGCACTAATCAGGTCCTGAGGGTGCTGAACTAGAGATGCTCAACCTCTATCTGACTGAGAATAGTCCAATCAGTGTTCTGTGCTGTTATTTAGCTCTATTTTTAATCTCAAATGTCTCTAAAAGCCCAGTAACCAGTGGAAGTGTTGGTAATGCTGCTAGACAATATTGACCTCCCATGGTCCGGCAAATTCTCAGGTTCAGCACTAATCAGGTCCTGAGGGTGCTGAACTAGAGATGCTCAACCTCTATCTGACTGAGAATAGTCCAAGTTATATTAACTATTTCCTGTTGCCAAATTCAAGCTTCTCATGAGAGCATAAATTAAGTTTTGTATATTGAAAAAATTAATATGACTTGAAGAAACTGAACTCATAACTGAATTTCCAGAAGTAAAGTGAAAGTATTATCCGCTAAGGGTTTACCATAAAATTAGTTTTCCAACAATGCATGTCAACGAAATAGAATGTAATTAAATGGAATTTTATAGTAAGTAATATTTAGGTTGAGTTATTCAAATTGTTTCTAGTTTCCATCTATTACATTTGTGGACTTGGTTACTTGAAAGTGGATGTAATAGAAACAACCCTTTAAGCAAGCTTTGTCTTTGAGGCTAAAAGCAAAGGCTGTTCACATATGTAATAATGCTAGGCTAACGATACCTGATGTTGCAAAGCCTGGTAGTGCAACTTATTTTTCCACTGACTGATTATTTCACACAGTTATACTTGTAACACTTTCTGTATTTAAGGATGGGGTCTGTCAGTAAAAGTTAAGACAACAACAGAAACAGATGAATAACAGAAAGTAATGTGTGGGGCCTTGTACTCCTGAGACCTCAGTTTAAAAAAATGCCAGAATTCCCCTATAAAGAGGGCCAGAGTTTGCGAGCTTTCTTTAGAAGTCTTGCTTTACTGAGGTATGAATGCACCTTGGAGATAATATAATTAGTCCATGTGGTGGAGGGGCGGAATTGGAGAGCTGTACCCTTCTTCTGACCTGTTGGCTGGTGCATGGTGTTTTCAGTAGCTGGGTATGCTGTGACCAGCCTACAGCCAGCTGTCATGGTAGGAATTGCTGTCTGGAGAATAGAACAGGAAGTTAAAAGGTTGTAGGAAAGGACTGCCATTTTTGAGTAGATGCTTCCTCTTCCTAAGTGACAATGCATATCATTTACTCACCTTGTAGATCTACATCAATGGATGTAAAGTTCAATGTGTGTTTTTCTTCTTCCAGGTATAGAGCGGGATGCAGTTAATACTTTTACCAAATATATTTCTCCAGATGCTGCTAAACCAATACCTATTACAGAGACAATGAGGAATGATATAGTGGGTAAGAACAAGCTGTATTTGATAACATTGACTTGACCCATTACATCCCCCCCCAAAACAAATAAAATTGATATGCAGCAGAATGGATTCGTCTTTCTCATAACAATACAGTTGCTTTTACTTTTTGAGTTTATAACCACAACAGGTAAATAGATTATAAAATATACACCTAATTTCACGAATCTCCAACTATTTATTAGACTTTTCTGTGGTGTCTATTTGTATAGAATCTGAGCACCTCACATGCATTAAGGTAGTGGTTCTCAGCTGGGGTACATGTACTCTTGGGAGGAGACACAGAGGTCTTCCGGTGGTACATCAACTCATCTAGATATCTACTAGTGTATTTTATGTAGCCTGTTGAAAAACTATGCAGAGTCAGTACAATTTAAAATTTCATCCAGACAGTGACTTGTTTATACTTCTCTGTGTACTCCACACTGAAAGGACAGTAAAAATCAATTTATAACAATGCAGTAAAAATGAGAAAGTGAGCGATTTTTCAGTAGCGTGCTGTGGCACTTTTCTATTTTTGTATTGTGCGCTGTGGCACTGATTTTTCTAAACAAGTAGTTTTAAGGGAGGTGAAACTTGGGGGTACACAAGACCAATCAGGCTCCTGAAAAGGAAAAAATAGTCTGGAAAGGTTGAGACCATTAAGGGATTTACCTTCTCAAAAAACCCCTTTTAGTATGGAGGTTATGTAATCCATATAAAGCAGATTGGAAACAGAAGTACAGGATGAACCTCTCTAAACCAGGACTCTCTGGTCCAGCTGAAACATGGATGCTCCAGAAGCAGAGTGTCCTGGTGGAGGGCTGGTGTCTGGGACCTTGTGGGCTGGCAGCTGGGCTGCCCAGTGAGGGTGGGAAGCCCTAGCCAGGACTGGGAAGGCCAGGGGAGAGCAGAAATAGAATCTAGATCCTCTTGAGTCCCAGTTCAGGGTTTAAACTGTGAAAATGCTCTTGTCCTCTTACAGACAACATTTGAAGTAACAAACTTGTTATGAGAAGTCAGATCTGCTTAATCCCACTTGGCTTGAATTGTTGTTTGTTTCCATTAGACGTATTGCCAGTGATTTCTTTTAGCTAAGTAAATCCAACTGCTCATTATAATTGGTCTGGTCTTTCTTACAGCAAAGATTTGTGGGGAGGATGGACAGGTGGACCCTAACTGCTTCGTTACTGCACAGTCAATAGTGTTTAATGCAATGGAACAAGAGTAAGTTGATTCCGTGGTTTGGCTTTGTCATGTTGTGTGTTTTCAAAAACAGTTTAATAGACCGAAGAATCAACATATTCATTCGGTTAAGTAACACTTAGCAACACTGCTAAGTCACTCTGCTACCCCTTATACCTAGATTAGTCTGCCTCCATGCTCCAAACCCCCTCCTTTTACCCCTCCCAATCTGTTATGATTGCTTCCCTGAAGTCATTCATAAATGCTGCTGCTAGATAATTACACCACTTCCAGTTCACACAGACTTACCCCACACACTATTGCTTCTTATCTGTTTTGCCTTTATCTGACTAGATTTTTTTTAAGCATCCTGGAGCAGGCACTCGGTTTTATTTGTAAAATGCCACATTTGCTGTTGGCACTTGATAACTAATAATATTTAGTATCACTTTGTCTATGTGCAGGCACTTTAGTGAATTTTTGCGAAGTCACCATTTCTGTAAATACCAGATTGAGGTGCTGACCAGTGGGACTGTTTACCTGGCTGATATACTCTTCTGTGAATCAGCACTGTTCTATTTTTCTGAGGTAGGTCCCTCCCACCACCACCCCACAGTGTAGTATAAAAAAACCATGTATGCCATAAAAGCTTTATTTTAGGATCCCAGTAATTTATAACTTGAAAATAGCAGATACACATAATGCTAGGGGAAAAATGCATTCAGCTATTTTTCCTTTTTTTGTAGAATCATTCCAAATGTTCTAATTTCTTTGTTTTATTTTAGGCTGAGCTTTCACACATCCCTTCTCCTGTGAAGAGCTCCATCATAGCATTGTCTTTTTGCTCTGTACCAGGATATTGTAACAATTCATTTACCTACCCCTCATGGGGCTACTAGAAGGTTTAATGTCTGTAAAGCTTTTTGAGAAGCATGAAAAGCCCTGGAAAAGTACCAGGAATTGTAGCAAAATGATAGGCACAACAACTTAATCTCTTGGGGTATGTCTACACTGCCACGCTAGTTCGAGCTAGGGTGGCTAATGTAGTCATTCGAACTTGCAAATGAAGCCCGGGATTAAAATATCCCGGGCTTTATTTGCATGTTCCCGGGCACCGCCATTTTTAAATGCCCGGTACTTCGAACTCCCTGCCCGTGGCTACGGGCGACATGGGCTAGGGAGTTCGAATTAAAGCTCCTGCAATGAGGAGTAATGGTAGTTCGAATTAGGAGCTTTAATTCGAACTACCTAGCCCATGTCGCACGTAGCCACGGGCAGGGAGTTCGAAGTACCGGGCATTTAAAAATGGCGGTGCCCGGGAACATGCAAATAAAGCCCGGGATATTTTAATCCCGGGCTTCATTTGTAAGTTCGAATGACTACATTAGCCACCCTAGTTCGAACTAGCGTGGCTAGTGTAGACATACCCCTGCAGAGTAAGCTGCTAGCAGGTAGAATTTTTTAATCTTGCCTTGGCTTTTAGCTATTTGATAATCTTGCCAAAAGAAGCATTGACAAGAAATACTGGGCAAGATTCTGATCTGGGTCATGTTGATATAATGCATGACTTCAGACCAGCACATGGCATAATGAATGTTTGAATTTGAAATAGCTTCACAATAGCAGTGCTCTCTGTTTGGAGAATTGGGCTTGTTGGCAGGACAGAACTGTTTTAATAGCCTAACTACAGTATTCCAAACTACAGTGGCCTGTATATCTTGAAACAGCAGGTTAAGAAGCCCAAACACCCACACTGGTTTAGTGTTGCATTAAGATAACATCCATACAGTGTGAAAATTATTTTTCTGTGTTCCTATGTGTTTTCATTTGGTACGGGTATGTGCAATTACCCAGGCATCATGTGTGACTGAAATATTGGCGTTTTTTATTACTAGTTTTTTATGGTATTTGTGAGTGAAGCCCTCTTTGTAAACAATGCATCTGACCACCCAGAAAACCCATGTGGTTTCTGCCCAGATAACTTGTGTATTGATGTGTGAATCAGGTTTTTTGGCCAAAAAAAAAAATTTGAAAAGGGACCAGGTCTGCCTATGTTCCCCTTCCACTTCTTAGTAAAAACTTGTTTGCTCTTCTTTGAAAGGTTATATTTAATATTCTTAATTTCCCTTCCAGTACATGGAAAAGGAAGATGCAGTTAATATACTACAGTTCTGGTTGGCAGCAGATAACTTCCAGTCTCAGCTTGCTGCCAAAAAGGGCCAATATGATGGGCAGGAGGCACAGAATGATGCCATGATTTTATATGATAGGTGAGTTGTTCTAACAATCATTTGCCTCCACAGCTCCAGTTAGAAAAATCTGGTACTTGTATATGTGGCATTGCACACAGGGATAGTTTTATTTTTTCAGTAAACCTTTTGCATTCTTGGCTTTCTAGATATTTGGTATATGGGACTGTGGGGCGTGGGCGTGTTTTATTAAAGGTGACCTCCAATGTAAGTGTGTGGAAAATGGACCTTTTTAAGTTCCTTGTATACAAAGACGTCTAAAATCTTTGGAAATCATTTTTCATGATCTTTCATGAGAAATATTGATTCTCATCTATCCTGTGTATGCTGGAGGACTCCATGGGTAACTAATGACTATTGTCATCACAATCCAGAGCAGTAGGGAGGGGAACAGTTTGTTGGTCACTGTTTACAACTATTGATTTGGAGTTAAATAGATTGTAATTCAAACTCCTGATGTATAATTGAGAGAGACTCTCGCTCTTGAATAGCCAGACAATCTCATGCCTTCCATAGAAGACTGAGACAGCTTCTCAGTTTAGTTCTCTAGTCAGGAAAAATGGGTAAGAAAAAACTTGTTTCTAATATTTAGGATTTTTTTTTTAATTACCAGCTTTAGATAATTAAAACCCTTCAGCTTTCATAAAGTAATAAGAAAGGGTATCAATAATGTCACGTCCACTTCTACCTTTGGAGGTTGCCTTAAACCATTTTAAATCAACAATGGTTTCCTAAACTACTTCTCAAAAACATGTTCTAAAGCTGAAGTGTGAGTGACCGGGGCAACAAGCTGTGTTGAATTCATTTATTGTTCTGCTAGGGTCTGGTGTCCCTGACCTATTTCAAACTAAGCAGCTCACTCAGTTCCCTAAAATCAGTTGTTTAATAGTTCAGTTAAAAGGAAATGAACCTGCTGTGGGTTCTTGGTGCTTCCTGCTTGCTTGCTCTACAATATAGTATTAAGTGCACAACTCTGCCCATAAGCAGTCACATAATGTACTTTATTCCATTTACTCTGATCTCATTTGAAGAGATATTTGTTTCCTCAGTTCAGGGATTTTTTCCTTAATCTTTGGCTATCAGTTGTACATTGGTTTTTGAGGCTAATGCCACCTAGTGACCACAATATAGCTAACTGTTTGGTGTGAAAAAGCTATTTTGCCCACCCAATGAACGTTTTGAAGCTTGTCTTACGTATACTTTTCTTCCACTATCCTGTTCTGCAGATACTTCTCCCTCCAAGCCACACATCCTCTTGGATTTGATGACTTTGTGCGATTAGAAATTGAATCCAATATCTGCAGGGAGGGAGGTCCACTCCCTAACTGTTTTACTACTCCATTACGGCAGGCCTGGACCACCATGGAGAAGGTGAGAGAGTGCTTTTTGAAAACAGTCTTGGAAACTAGTAGAGAGAAAAGATGATCAATAATAGATTTTTTTTCTCCCATCTCTAATGTTATCAGTTCTTAGTGTTTTATCTTCTTGCTGCAGAGGTGATGTAGAATTGTTCCCTGTGTGGTTTGTCCAATCTGTTTTTAAATCTTCCAAGAAAAGACTTTTGTGTTAATTGTTTTTGTAAAATGATCCTTTTGGAGGCTATTCCATAACAATATCTCCACTCTCTTCTGAGGTCATCCACCAGCCTCAGCTGATTTTAGGCTGTCATTACCTTTTTGCTCAGCCACATCCTTGCAGAAAAAACATTCTTAAAGTCTAGTTTAGAAAATGAGTTTGGATTAAGGTAGGGCATGAATTTAGAGCCTGATACCTGTTCCTGAATAACTCCATATATGGACATTCTAGCTCCATTAAGGATAAATGAGCCCTTAATTTCTGCGTATGGTCAGATACCCCTTCGCTGTCCTATGTGTGCCACTGTAATATTCATTCATTCAGATTGTATCCTCTGCCTTTTTATCAACACAACCACTTCCTCTGTTTCCTAGGTTTTTTTACCTGGCTTTTTGTCCAGCAACCTTTACTACAAATACTTGAATGATCTCATCCATTCAGTACGAGGAGATGAATTTGCAGGGGGGAATATTGCACTGACTCTTCAAGGCCCCAGTAGCTCTCCTGACAATGAGCCTCATACAACTGGTTCTGATGGCTCTGCCTCCCAGGTAAAAATTTCCTGTTTTACTTCCATCCTAATAGCAGCTGTGATCATTCCATAATGATATCCTCAAACCTGTGAAGAATTGCATGCCAAGCAGCTTGGTTCAGGGAACATTTTCATGTAATTTAAGTCTCATGTTTAGCTTCCCCGTTAAATTCTACATTAGAGTAGAAAATCTTTATTCTGCCTTAAATCAATAAAAGTAATTCATATGGAAAAATACAATGCAATAATTAGTTTATCGCCTATTCCTAATCCAAGTTATAATACTGTGCAGATACTGCTACAATTTGCATTTTTGGACAGTGGTTACCATTAGAAATGACAGCAGTGTTATACAGTGGAATCTGAAATACTGTAGGCGTTCCCTTAAAAACAAACAAAACACAAATATCTATGATACTGTGTTTTTACTGTTGGAAAATGTTGACTTTTTAGTTTTGACAACTGAATAAATTCTGGTATAGTTAAATTATAAACAATGTAAGTTATGGATCTTAGTGTTTATTTACAATAGCATGGTACTTAACAGCAATCTAGTTCCTGTAAAAGTCAGATATAGGAGCAGAGCATTTCTTTTTCAGATAAAATAGAGCCAGCTACTAGTGTAGAGAGGAATAGCAGTTAATATCTAGTGTCTCGAAGTTTCTGTGAAAGCAGAAAGGACCCAGCAGATTCTGTTGTGCTTTATTCATCAAGTATTCAGCTGACCTACAGGGTGGCAGTTAGGGATGTCAGCATATAGTCGACTATACGATTAACCAAAAAACCTAGGCTTATTGGTTAATCTTGTTGACTGCATGCGTATTCTCTCTCCCCCTTCCCCCCCCCTTGCTGCCTCTATCAGAGGCAACAAGGCAGGGGAGCGGGAGCTGGTGCCAGTGAGGAGCTAGCTTAAAAGCCAGCTTTCCATTAGCACCAGATCTGCTTGCCCCCACCTCCGCCCTGCTGCCTCTGATAGAGTGGCAGAGGGAGGGTGAGGGGAATGAATGTAGTGCATGCATGATAGAGGCAGCAGCGCAGAGGGTGAGGGGAGCAGGCTAGAGCCGATACACGCAGGGAGCTAGCTTGAAAGCTAACTCCCAGTTCCCCATGTGTATCGGCTCCATGGACCTGCCTACAGAGG